TTATTTTAGTTTTATCGGATTTAATGTGATGTATTATTTTGTTATGTCGAACTTAGTACTTTATTATGTGTTAAGTGTATATTTTTACACTTAATCGTACCTTTTAATTGGAGTTTTTGGTATATTTTATTGATAATTGGTGCTTAAAATATTGATTTATTGTGTTTTAGGTACAAATAGATGAGTGGGATGAATACAGGGTCAAAACTGCAATTTTGGAGAAAATTGGTTTATTGTGTTTTAGGTACAAATAGATGAATTGGATAAATACATGGGTCAAAACTGCAATTTTGGAGAAAATTGATTTATTGTGTTTTAGGTACAAATTGATGAATTGAATAAATACAGGGTCAAAACTGCGTTTTGGAGAAAAAATGTTTATTGTGTTTTAGGTACAAATTGATGAATTGGATAAATACTGGGTTAAAACTACAATTTTGGAGACAATATGGGCGAAAAGTGAAGAAGTCAAAAATCTGAAGAAGTATAGCAAAGACGGCCGTCTGATAAATACAATTAAATCTCGGACTGCCGTCCCAGAAACAGAGGCAGTCTCTGTTTCTGGGACGGCCGTCCGAGATTTTGTAGAACCGCAGTAACTGAGTTATAATTGCACACAATTGGGCATCAACCTTGTACAACATCATCAAATACGAAAACAAAACAACATTATCAAATCCGAATAGAAAACAACAATCCAACATCATCATCCAATCCGAAAAGAAAACAACAATCCGACATCATCAAATCCGAATACAAAACAACACTTCAACATCATCAAATACGAAAAGAAAACAACAATCCAACATCATCATCATCAAATCCGAAAAGAAAACAACAGTCCAACATCACCAGAATCTAATAGAAAAAAAAACCAACTAACTATACCTCGTCCGACGTCTGCCCTGAGAATGTCGCATCTGTGAGTCTCCTGCATCTTGCTCGTCATCAACATCTATATCAGGACGCTGCAACTATAAATACTCAGCGAATGAGGTGCACATTTCCTGAATGGTCCTGAATAAATCATCGGGTATGGCGCGATATCCTGGAATAGTCGGCGGAGGCAAGTGGTCGTAAACATATGGATGCAACACTCGGGTGATGTCGTATACAAACGGAAATGCAGATGGCCCCGCTCTCTCAACTGGCTCGAAACTAGGATCTATACGAGGGTGGGTACGGTCGAGATACCATGGCAAATAATGCTCGTCTGACTCCCAAGCCGGAGACGCCAAACGACCATAATAATCTCGATCAAGCATGTGCACGAGGGGATACTCCAAAGCTGATCGCCAGGTTCGTAGTCAAATTTGTAAGATGCTAATTTTCTCTCCCTCTTAACAAAACTGAACTGACGTAAAGCTCTATCGGGCATGTAAGGCTCGACCGTATCCATCCAACGAATAGTCCCGTCGTGGACGGTCTTGTCAACATCACGTGCCACATTCAACCCAAATGGCGTCCAATTCACCTATTGTATGTATCAATAGGCATGCATTAATAAAAAGAGTAAATACATAAATATTAAATTATTTAAACTTGTTACTTACATCAGACGCTCACATGGAATCAAGACGTCGACGGTACTCGACAACTATATCCTCGTCCTTCGGGATATGATGTGTCACCTGCCACCTCTTACACCACGGCTCCCCGGGTACATGTGCATTAACCATCGGAGGCCGGAAGCACGGAAAATACTCATGTATCCAACACTACATGAATAATAATACGGAATGTTAAACATAACATCACATTGAAACTTATTAATAAAAAAGTTTGTTGATTTATAAAAATTAAAAAGTACCTCTAACAGTGTCAGACAACCACAAATTTGCGCAGCCCCAGCTCGCGATGCCATACCCAACTGTCGGTACAAAAATGCCAATGTAGCAGAACCCCAAGAATACTCGTGAATCTGATCGATGTACTCTAAAAGTGGGAAAAATTCTGGTTCACCTTCGATCCACTTTTGTCGACGAACAAAAGTTTTCAAAGCAAGTAAGAGATATATGCTCGTACGCGAAACTCGGGTGGAAACGTAGGATTGTTACAGTACATCACATCCAACTGATCTAACCGGGGGCCACCACCGTACCACCACTCCTCCATAAGTGCATCGCCAATACCAAACACCATCACACCTTCCTCAATCGCCTGTGCCTTATCCATGTTAGTGTTAGGACGATGTCCACTAACTGGAAAATGCATTATGTAATGCATATCGTGGAGAGTAATTGTCATCTCTCCGAACGGCATATGGAAAGTGTTGGTGTCTGGCTGCCACCTCCCAATAAAAGCCTCGATCAACGGATTATTGTGCTGAGGGAGAGAACAATCACGCAGGTGATACAACCCCGTACTCTCTAGTAGTGAAATAGAACGAGCATCGATGGGGCCCGTGTTGGGTTTCGGGCACGCGTACGCAGCGGAAAACAAAAATTTAATGCGATTTAAACGACTTTAAAGCACACAAGCACATGCCCGACAAATTAAAAGCAATTAATTGCGTACCTTTGCGCTTCCAGCGAAATTAAAACAACATACATTGCGTACCTTTGCGCTTCCAGCGAAATTAAAACAACAACATGCTTAATTACTTAATCGAAATTAAATCAATTAGCATGCTCGCGTTTAAATCAAATAATCATGCTCGCAATAATAAAACCAATTTCATGTAGTCACATAAAATCATACAAGTTTCTTATTAAAACGAACATGCATATATTAATTTAAACGTAACCGAATCGAATGACAATAGCTTCGAAACATTACCTCTTGAAGCGTGAGGTAGGCGCAATAAGCAAAGCTAGATTGCCACGGAAACCAATCCGTGCAATCCGGGGCAGCAACGGCAATGATTCGAGCTACGGCGGCGCATGTGATTCACGCGCAGAGAAGATGGCTAGCTGCTCTTCCCACTCCTATTGATCCAACCTGTTTGCTGATCTGAAATTACAGCCTTGCTCCGACTTCAGTATCTCCATGCGTATTTACTGGATGAACAATTCCTTCTGGGCGATGGTAGATTTATGAGTCGTGAAGCTGCTGTCAAAATTTCACGTCCATCGGATGACCGGTTGATTTATGGCGAATTTTCTCGGTGGGCAGCGCAGAAAATCCGAGAGCAGTTTTTCGGAATTGCCTTCTCGCATCTTCGATTCTTCGATCTTCCTCCTCTTGGATTTCACCTCGTATACTTCGATCTACTAAACACGTGGCACTAGACACGTAATAGTCAGAATAACGGAAGAAAAGAAAGAAGGAAAGGAATATCGAAAGAGATCGGCCAACGGGTGGCCGATTCCGGCGACGGCGCGGTGGTGGTGGCCGTGGGAGAGGGTGGCTGATCGAGAGAGGCAGCGGCTAGGGTTATGAACGTGTGTTCTCTTAGTTGTATGTGTGTAAGACCTATAAATCAAGTATTTATATGTCTTGCATAAAACCCTAACGGGCTTAAGTTGGACAGGGCCCAACAGCTTAAGTTCGTTAGTTCATTTACTTGCTCGTCTCTCTCAATTCAATGATCGGAAAATTGTAACGATTACATTTTCGGAATCATTATAATGTCCTCGTCATTACGAGTGCCAACTCTCGATTTCCAACTTTCCAAAAGTGGAAACCCTAATTCAGTGCACTTTCTAAATTTGGAAACTTCCCGATTTAGAAAGTCCACTAATACATTTGCCTATTCTTTTCCTTTTCTTATTCTCATTCATAATTCCAAATTACGAATGTTGGACCCAATCATATTAACTTCCAATCATGCAAAGATAAACCATTTTATCTCTGACCGTTTATTCAAAGATCTCATGTGCACGAGCAGTGTGACCCTCGATGGTTCAGGTGTAAGCTAGCCGTGGGCCCACAACCCTTTGTGGTCAAAACTCGTCCCCTTAGAGTTACGATTAAGATGAAACTCGTTTCACCTTAATCACCCAACGAATCAAGATTGGCGTCTAGCAACTACGCGTCATGATTCCCTAGATACAAATGAAGTGCCTGCAAGAACCTTCAGATATAGTTAACGTACAGTACGGTCCCTTCGATACATATGTCCCGATCGAACTAGAGGCATTGGTTCATCGAGACCTCTTTATATGTTCGATGACGGTGCGATCGTTCCAAGTGTTGTAATCGTCACGTGCATGACTTAGAGAATCGAATTCTCTAATCATCACTCAGTCAGCTCTGGCCAGAGACTTAGAATGATTACAAACTTTCAGAACACACAGGACATCCAAGACTATTCTAGCGATCGAATCCCCGACTACAATGCACAGACCTCCCACTAGATTTCGGACTGCACGAACACTGGCCCTTGGGATGGTCCTCGGTGGAACTCAGGGACAGGTCACGATACAGCTGGTCCTCTAGTGAAGTCACGGTGATGTCTAGGTCATAAGGACTAATGGTGTACAACTATACCATAGATATCTCTACTCGATTATTGGGAACCACTTAGAGATTTCTAGGGTGAGGGAGTTCAGTGAACTCGTCAACTTACGAGCACCCACTTATGCATGCCGATATCACAATACCGTTTACTGATGAGATGCAGTACACATACACTAAGTGCTAGTCTTCTAATGGGAAAGGCCGATATCCTCATTGGTGGCGTAACCCTTCGACTATGAACACGTTTAACAGTTATAATACTTAAGTAAATATCTCACGATCCTAACGATCAATTACTAGTACTTGTAATAACTGTAAGGACTATATCTATGCTTGTGACAAAGGGACAAAGATATAGAATGCCAAGGTGTTTTATCATTAATACGAATAAAGGTTCGTTTATTACCATAATAAATACGAAAGACCACAGCCACATGTTGGCTTGTTGGTCACCTACTCTAACAGCCCGACCAAGTCGACTTGCCGTGCGACCGCAACTTAACCATATGTCGTGCCTGTTCAATATATATTCATATTTAAGTATTACACAATCAAGTATAAACACTTTAAATAAAATTAATAAGTATTACCTTTCCCTCTCAGATGTCGTACGCAACGTGTGCTCCGAAACTCGGAATCAACTTAGGCAGCTCAGGTCCACCGGGTGCCCGGCCAGTCAACCGCCAAGGTCTAGAAGGAACCTTAGGTTTCCGAGAGGGGCGGGATTTAGGATTTTGGACAGGAGTAGAACCACTAGAAGTAGTAGCAGCTCTAGTCAAAGTAGGAGGTGGAGTCGGATCGCCCTTGTCATCGTCATCTAATGGAAAATCAGGAATCGGAAAATGATACTGCCCCTGAAATAAATTCAAATAAAAGTTTGTTCCAAACACAAGTGTTATAAAACAATCATATTGAAAATTGCATTAATCACCCAAAATGTACTAAAAATAGCATAAATCATAATACATTTTGCTGAAAATCAACAAAATCTCCCCACAACGTTGTAAAAATCGCACAAAGTTACCCCAAAATGTGTTGAAAAGCGCACAAATCATCCTCAAAATAAAATATCTTAGATATTCTATCGTATCGTGATAATTGTATCGTATCACGATATCGTGCGATATTTACCAATATTTGAGGAAGATCGACAAATATGCCGAGTAATCGTTTCTATAGAAATCGTAGCGTATCGTGATATTGAATACACCGTATAATACGATACTTTGTTCATATAGTATAGAGAATGTCATACCATTACCTTAACCACTATTTAAGATATTGTACCAATGCCGTTTAAAGTAGTATTATTTTGATAATTTTTGTTTGTTATACCAAAATCTAGTTGATCTTTTTTTATAGAGAGACCAAGTATATGTTACTATAAAAAATCAAAAAAATATCAGTTTCAACCAATCTATAAAAGTGAATATATGCATGTATCAAAAAATCTTTAACAACCCTTGAAAATGATAATAAAATAAAAATATTTAACAACAATAGAAAAAAGCTTTTAGGGTCCATTTGGATGGAGGGATTTGGGGAGGGATTTGATTTGGGGAATGGATTTGAAATGACTCCAATTTTGGAGTCATTTGAAATCCATCACTATTGCTCCAAAATCAACTAAAAATGAGGGGTGGAGATTTGAAATCCATCTCCAAATCCCTCAATCCAAACAAGTCGGAGGGATTTGTTATTATGGATTTGAAATCCCTTCCCCAAATCCCTCCATCCAAATGCACCCTTAATTGTTTGTGGGTTTTCAGTGCATTTTATCATAAATCATAGTACTCTACTACTTCAATTAAACTATTGAAACGGGTCAAACTCTTCTCCACCACCAAATTCATTTGTTACCTTCGATAGCCCACCAAATTCTTCCTCATCTTCCATCGTAGCAGCAACAGGTGGCGGTAAGGGGACATAATACCCCATTGTTGGTGCCGCCAGTGGTGGTGGTGGCGGCGGACGCACCGTGGGAGCACCTTGCGGTTGCTGGTGGTGAAGGAAGCCAACTCCGACGCCGCCATCTCGCCTAACAATCTGCGATATTTGATTCCTAGAGCCACGCTCGGGGTCCTGCTGCGTGCGGTGGTTGTTGAGGAAAACTGTGAGCGACTCCAAATAGTCTTCGAAACCTAGAGAGGCCATTGCTGCCAGCACGTCCTCCGGTGTGACTGTTCTCCTGTAGTCCTGGCGGCACCGCCGGTTTGCCTCGGCGGTGATAAAGCTGATGAACTCTGAGACGCATTCCTGGATAGCTTCCTTGGCATCGTCGGCGATTTCGGCATGGGTGGGGAGGACACGCCGCAAGATTCGGGTGATATTGGCTATCGGCATGTACTCGTCTGCCTCTCTTTTGAAGCCCTGCTGCTCTTGGTTCACTTCTTCAGCAACGACATTCAGTGTGGGGCCCGCGATGTTGGCGGCATTGGTGGCGGTAGCAGCTGCACGGGCGGCACCCCCTTCCCGGATGACTATACCTGAAATGATATATATAAAGAGAATATTAATTGGTTATTAGCATATATTAATGGAAAATGATAGTAATCTCAATACTCACGAATATATAATTGGCTAAACGTTGTACAGCAGAACCTCGATAAATTAATTATCGATAAATTAATAACCTCGATTAAATAATAGTTTCTCTCGGTCCAGACTCAATAAAAACGTGTTAAATTATTAACTCAATAATTTAATAATTCATTAGATTAATAGAATTTCCCTAGTCCCGACTGTATTAATTTATAAAGGTTTAACTGTATATAGTTCAAATGCATATACATAGTTCATATGTAATTTTTTAAAAAAAATATAAACATGCATGCGATGTAGGATTCATATATGCAATGCAATAAAGAAAAATCAATATTTTTCAAAAATGTATAAGTAGAGCAAACTAAAAACTCAAACTTGTTCAAGAACATGTACAAATTAACTTGACTAGCCAGATTTCTGCTACTTGTTGATTTTGTTTTATGACCAATTTCTATTATCTTCATCACGTACAAGGAACCAAGTACATTGGTGTGAATTTCTTTCATTTTTGTCCAATAGCTAACAAATTGTGTAAAAAGCACGAGAAGTTCACTTTTAGTGCACTAATTTCACACTCTTGATATTATGTAATATTTTTTACTCCTTTGTTTTATGTTGAAGTTTATTTAATATGTATACACATATGATGTGTAACGATAAATGATATATGCAACATAATACATGAATTGAAATAGAGATATTGAAATAGAGATGCACTCTTAAAAAGATTAAGATTATATTGACTTAAATTTCCCCTTTTCATCGAAATAAATTTCATCCACATTAAGAACCCTTTATAATTTGATCCATATGGTCACATTTTGTTTTGTCATAAAATAAAGACCAATCCTTAACTGCGAATTTTTTTGATACAATTAAGGAACTAATTACAACGTGTTGGATTCAAATGAAAACATGGAAAATTGGGATCCAATTAGCACATGAACAAAATCAAAATAATTTATATATATTAATGCATTTTCTATGTTTGACCATTTTTTTTCTTCTAAAAAGTACCATAGATATTAAAATTAAATAAGACGTTGCTCATCAAACATAAAAGAAATCAGAATAGAATGATACACGAAAGCGGCAAAAGATCGCTTTTTATCTAATTAACACAAGGATATCCACGAAGCGTCAAAAATATTTGGGAACTTAAATCGCACCAAATTTGCTAATAGAAGATCGACTATCCTAAAACTAAATCTAGCGAATTAAAATTGTTTTTTACTTCTGCAAACGAGAGATTTGAAAATTAAATTGAAAAAAAAAACAAATCTATGCACATTGTTCAAATGGATTTAATCTTAAAAACCGAATTACAGGAAAAATTCAGTGCAATTATACCTGATGTGCGTGCTCTTCTCGTATATTTATATCCTATGTTTGAGCTTCCTCCTTTCTCCATCTTCAAGTATTAATTTTGATTCAAAATCTATATGATTTTCACCTTGTGTTTTTTATTCACACAAACACAATATCTCTTACGCCTCTTACTCGTGTGTGTGATGAGTTCTGATGTGTCATAGTACAATTGCGTTCAATATATAGACAAGATCCGAGACCTTTCAAAATGAGTCAACAAGGGTAGTATTAGGGTGGTGAAAAGTAAGGGCAAAATAGGCAAAAAATATTAATTGTTTTTCCCAATAGAAAAGTGACCTATTTTACTTTTCTTTGGTGAATAGAAAATTATGTGGAATTGTTTGCTTTAGATAGTAAGTGAATTGTTGTAGAGTACCATAAAATTTACTAGCGAATGTGATTGCGTTTATTTACTTATGAAGATAACATATTTGATTTTTATGAATATTATATTTTATTTATATAAATTAATATAAAATAAATATAAAAAATGGTAATTTTTTTACAGAAATTTATTGAAATTCTATCAAGTAAATATTCATGTATACGAGTTCTTACACTTCTAATTATTATTTTTACTCATAAAATAGAATTAATCTCTATTCGGATGCTATCATTTACTCGCTGCTCAAGTGCTAATATAGGAGTTATTGAAGAAATTATTACGTGGGGATATACAAGACTTAATTACGACAACTATTTAATCCGTCTTAAAAGCGAATTGTTGAATTGATATATTTGATATGATTTTCAAATCTTATAAATTTGAAATAATTGCATTTATTTACTTGCAAGGTTGAAATAATTATTTTTTGTTCTTCTTGAATTCTTAAAGCAAGTAAAATAATATAGCATATTGATGTTTTATAATGTATAACATATTATACGAGATAGAGTTAATAATTAATACTATGCGATTAGTTTTAAAAATAAAAGATATCAAAGTACAAGATTCTTTTTTTGTTCTCTATTTCTGATCATCATTATTATACATGTGAATTGTTATAAACTTATACCTCTAAGTATTTCTTTTTTACATACCATATCATATTTTTTGAGAACATACTAATAATTTCTCAAAACATGTCATATGTTCCCAGTCACGATCAAAGTTATCTTTCTCTCTAACTTTACAACTTCCCACAATTCACTATAATAACAATTTGGGTTCAACATTAACTTTTAGCAATAAAATTACAAATGGACCTTTGAGGAAGTGGCTATTGTAACCACATACGGCTCAATAGTTAAAATTAAGGGTAAATTACACGTACACCCCTGAGATATGCTAAAATAATTTGAATGTCTTTGTGGTTTCGGTAATTACAATTACCTCTTGAAAGACTGTTAGAAACACTAACGGGATAATTCATTGGATATGCTATTCCGATAGAGTTCTAACAAACTATTTGTTTGACTAACTGATGGACACCATAGAGCTAGGGGGTGAGATGGTTCCCCCAATATTTCTTAAATCACCCCTAACTATATGTTGTCTCCATCACTTGCTGATAATAATAGTTCGTTAAAACTCTATTAGAACAACATATCCAATGCATTATCCCGTTAGGATTTCTAACAATGTTTTAGGGGGTGATTGTGATTACCAATACAAAAGGGACCTTAAAGTTATTTTAACATACCTCAGAGGTGTGGGTGTAATTTTACCCTAAAATTAAACATAGTAAGTGTAACACATACGGTATTGTGATCAAAGGTCGTGCTACAAGTATTATTAAGAATCGGTTTTGTTTCTTGAAAAATGGATCCCATTACTTCAAAATATGGGTGTAATAAAGTTTCATCTTTCTATGCTTCCGGAAAGAGATTATTCGAACTGATACTGATATGTTCATCCGCTATCTATAGTCTTTGAAGCTGAATCTCTCAAAGATTTGCGTGTGAGAAGATTCATTTTGACTATTGATGATCACAAGATACTCTCTAAGAATATAAACGAAATGTATCTCGAAAACTCTACATTGATGAAGAGATGTTTGAAAAAATAATCTTTATTTTATCTCTGATTGAAACTATGTGCCTCGAAAGATGTCTAATGTTATCAAGTACTATTTAGGTGAGTCATCCATAATCTCAAGAAATTGAATTTTCAAGAGAACTAGTACTTCACCCGTGCGTTGCACGGATGTCAGTTTTAAAATGAGAATAATAATAATAATATGTAAATGACTATCTCTTTATAACAACACCAATTCAAATAAAACAAAATAGAAGGACATAAAAAAAACATAAACTTTATCTCTTCAGTCAGAGTTTTAACGTATGAAATTAAATTAAATATTACAAAGGAGAAAATGCGAAGCGCGCAAACACGATATGAAGATTAAGTGAAATCATTTAAAACATACGGTATAACTCTATTTCGAGGAATGCAACCTACTACACCATGTCAATCTTTTTCAAAATAACTAACTTAACAACAAACACGGTACCAGAGAAGTAACACAATAGATATTTAAATAAACTGTAAGTTTATCAATAACGACGTTCAATTAGTGATGCACATTACTCAAACAACAATACAACTTATAAATATTGCAAAAGAGATAACATATATACGCCAATACCCATACCAATATGGATATCAATACTGATACCAATATTGATATTAATATCGATACTAATACTGATACTAATTAATATCGATACTAATAATGATACCAATACCAATACTAATACCAATACTAATACTAATACAAATACTAATACTAATACTAATGCTAATACCAATACTAATACTAATACTAATATACTAATATACTAATACTAATACTAATACTAATACT